TGTATATTACTCTTTTTATCCTCACCGGCAAGACTACCCTTAAAGCAAAAGTAAAAATGAAGAAACGACAGAATAGGGACTGCAATTCAAATGGATAAATAGAATATCACCCATGCTTTTACAAATAAAATAGTTAAAACAAAAACTTTATTAACTTAAGATAAATTATATTCAAACTACGAGGCTTCAAGAGGATAATCCGTACTGATAAAGTCTAAGTAAGCGCAAGAAGTATATCTGAGGATGTAAAATAGGATAATTATGGTTAAGATATAGAAAAGGACAAGGTTATGAATAAAATCTTGTACTGTGAGTCTCCGAAGAACCCTGTAACTAATGGTATCTACCAGAAATATTAAAAATTATTTGTATATAAAATTCAAGAAATTAAATGAAGTTTTACAACTGAAAGCCACAAAATCATGATGCATCATTTTGAGAGATGAGGAGAGACACAAGAACCTTACCGAGTCTGATCCTAATGAAACAGCTTTGGGCGTCGAGTCTTCGTTTCGGAAGGCTGAAGATAAAATGCATGAATAAAAAATTCTAGGAATCTCGCTTTAGTATAATAATGATGTATTCCAAAAGGTACACGATTGAGATTTCTGAAAGTTTACTTTCAGGTTAATTGGCATGAATAAAAGACCAAGTCATATTGTAATAACCAAAAAGCGGATGCATTTAGACGCTGTTATTCACAAAGTTTATGCTGGGCCCTCCTAACTTGCGATACACGTGCTGAATATTTATAAATTTAATTTATCAAAGAAATTATGGTGTAAATGAAATTGAAGAGGGCTTAACGGAATTTGTACCATTAAATTGGAAATGAATCAAACAATTTGATATCATACAAACGAGGCGAAGATTGCCGCCTTGGTGAAGGTTCCATTCCCACAACAATATGGAGAAGGGGAACATCGATGAATCTCTAAGTATGCTAAACAATTTCTTTGTTTATACCCTAGACTGTCAATAGATTTCTATTATTTTTTATCTCTTAAAAGGCTCCCTCATCCAGGGTGGGCCGCGGCTTCGACCTCATCTATATAACATGAGTGACATTACCATTCCACCATACAGCCACAGATTAAAATGAGTCGCAGAACAGATAAAACATAAGATAAGTCATAGCTCTCCTAAATATAATTTGTATTGAATATGCCGAGCAAGCAAACATATATTTAGCACTTTAATCGACAACGCTTCTAATTTTCGGTATAAGAAAGTTTCAATACTATCAGTAATTCTGGAATAATAACTTAGTCACCCTAGTTCGTTTACGATGATTAAAGGACTGATAGTTAGGATTTCCCACTATTAAATAAGTCGGCCTCAATATTCCATTGAAGTTCATCTATCTTTGCCTCATCCAGGTGTTCTTGATAAGACCTAGGCGAAGTCGAAATTGCAATCCACCATGGATGAGAAGACTTTTTGGGAAAGCAAGGCTATGTGAAATTCCATGGAAACGTCGGCTCTACTCTTATCATTGTGAAAAAATCCAACTATCAGTCCTTAATCATCATAAATTAAATAGGGTAAATACTTCACATATGAGTGATTTACTGGTAGTCTCGAAAACTTACTCAAAAAGGAATATTTTTCATTCTAACTTGTCGAGTAGTGTAAAGAAGATCTTCTCCCTATAAATTACGTTATGTTTCCTCTTTTCAATCAAAATATTTTCTAGAATAAATTGAGCTTCTTTAGAATTTTTTCATTTAGCCTATTTGCTGAATTAGAGAAACTAGGAAAAATTGTCGCCCAGAAGGTGGATAGGATAAGCATGCCTAATTAAGCTGGGTAAATTTTTTGCTTTAAATTTTCTGAAAAGCAGATCTAAAAGCCTCAGTTTATTGAGAACTCAGCCCAGATATTGCTGCTTTAATTCGATAGGTCCTGATTAAAAATATCAGCTATGCATAGGTTAAAATCAATTTTGTATACAAATTCAATATTCAATGAATTTCTCCTAATATTATGAAGGTTTTAGACCAAAAATAAGTTTAAAGTTCTTATTATTATTCATTTTGTTCACTCATAAATAACCTGCAAATTTTCATTAAGATGACTCTTTGACTCACAAATTATTAAATTGTGAAGGGCACCAGATACTAAAGAGTATGCGAAGAGATTATTGTAACCCAGATCAGTTAAAAAGTCCAAGAAGCCAGATCGAGCAATTGGAGGCACCATGCCAGGAATACAACTAATATAGTGGAGTGGTGGAGCGAAGGGGAGAGAAAGATGTCGTAACCTTTGGCCAATGATAAGTGAAGACGATGATGAAGCAGGAGTTGAGTCGGGATGTGTGGGAGAGAGATTGTTGAGGATCAAGCTGTTTTCTTCTGAACATGTCAGGAAGCGACGAATGATATCAAATAACAATTCAGTCCCCCAAGTAGACCCAGAAATGATAGATATTGGTAGAAAAAAGCTGGAAAGAGGAGGCGCCAGCAGCTGAGGAGTTAGAAATGACGAAGAGGTGCTGTCCAGAGAGATGATTTGAGATTCAGAAGATGGCTGGCTCTGAGCCAAATAGTCCAAGGGAACATCGTGATTCGTTTCTTCGGTTTGCAACTGATTAGGTTGAACCAAGGAAATAACAACAAAAACGGCATTAGAGACAAAGCGGTAGATCAAATACTCAAATGTGTTCTTGGGTTAAGTTTAAGTACTCGAATAACCAAGAGAAATGGTGTTTAACTCTAATGACGCTAAGTTATTTATAAAAATGTTAGCCTATACGTTCATATTTGTTTCTATTTGGTCAAAAACAACCTCGAATATATTTATACCCAATTTGAAGCAACTTGGTCATATTAGTAGGAAGACTTAGATGAAGGCAACTTGTCCGGAGTCCATTGTATGCATGATCATTTCAAAAGACGGACCGTGGACGTGGGACATTCCCAGACGTTTTGCCGGCATCGTAGTCGGCATCACCAGTGAGTCTTTCTATTCTTAGCACCACAAAACAGCTCGTCAGAGACAAGAGTAGCCGATCCTTTGACCAAATGTGTGCTAAACAGTAGTGGCATCTCCCCTTCTGCCCTAGGCTATTCACATTTCCTATATCCTTCTATCACACCTTCACTGTTACAATTTTTAATGTGCTTATTTCGATGTAGTATGGTGTGTTCCTTTGAGCGGCATTCATGAAATCCTTCACACTCCACGCTGTCGTTCTCATCCCTTTCACCGTTGTGCTGAGAATGTTGATTAGATTCTGCCATATTGTTACGCATTCCTCCTTCACTAGTTCTTATCACAGTTTCCCTCTTGCCCGATAGGATCCGTCTGCTCTCTGCTTGGTTCACGTATTTCACTCGAACTCTGCCACTCCATCTGTGCGTTATTCGCCCTTCCTGCGTCTGAGTGACTACTTCGAGGCTCAGACCTCTAAGTAAGTCCCATCTTCAGGCCTTTGCTACATGGAACACGTCTATCGTACAAAAGACCTACTTTCAGCCAGCTAGCTCCAGTATCCGCCGCGTTATCCTGTTTCTATCCCTAATGCAGCCAACCTTCCGGTCGATTTACAGTCGATTTCGTGCCCCATTTGTGCAATGTGTTCCGCTATTTTTGATCTTTTCGTATCCATGTTCCTGCAGAGTCTTTGATATTCCTTGATTCGTAGGTTGATTTTTCTCCCTGTTTCAGTGATATAATTCTGCTCACAGTTTCCGCATTTGATGCGATAAACTCCTGAGCAAGCAAGTTTGTTGTCTTCTCGTGTTGCATCAGCAGACTGTTAAAAAGTTTTTTATTCTCTTTTCTTATTACCTTGATATTCCTACAGACTGAAGATGGGAATACTAAGGAGTTTGATAATCAGAAGCTTACGACTAACGGACATTGAGATCTGGGATGAGGAGTTAAGAAAATGACACGGATTTTCTTTACTAACGATACCCCAAAGAATTTATATAAAAATATATAGGGGTTATAAAGGGCAGATTTCAATTCGGATTTT